TGCATGTTTTTCAAATATGTTTAGTTTCAAAAGAATTTCGTCTTATACATTATCGAAGAAAAAGACGTGCCCGCTCCTCCTCTTTCGATTGGTGAAAACCGCAGGTAGCTAGGTATTGCGGTTGTCGAGTTATTGAGCTTACAGTCACCCCTCTTTTATTCTGGCGCGGATATTAGACTATTAAAAGCGAAAAGAAACCTTTCTTTTAGAACATTGACACAGAATACCCTTCTTCCACAAAGTGGTAGAAACTCCACGGATTCACCCTTTAGTCGATAATCCATAATCAATGAGTTTTTTAGTAAGAAAACAATCGATCAGCTGAAACCGTCTTCTCGCCATAAAGATGTCGCAATATTGTTGTATTTTGTCATATAACTCCGTCGAGTTATATCTAGATGTCAGCTATAGTCAATTATATTTGAATATCAAACTCGTACAGGATTGGTTTCTTTGACCAATGAATAATTACGAAACTATATTGTACTTTCTTAATATTAATTTTTACTATTTTTGAAATTACTTTGTAGAAATGATTGACTATCGAACATATCCACGTATAACTGGTTCTCTTCGTGCACATTCTGATATAGCTGAACGATTACATTATCGAGGTGATATTGATGAATTACAACGACGTCGACAACAATCATCAAACATCGATTCAACAATAACATTAACATGGAATGAACTTCAACAATTATTTTTTAAACATAGTTTAAATTCAACAATTGAATCACAAATTAAACAATTACGAAAATATGCTATTGAATTTGGTTAGTTGTATAGATTTCTTTTTAATCAAAAATAAAATTTGAATTTTTATTTCTAAATTCAGCCGGTTCAGAATCTGATTCATCATCGATTGATTCTGTTTGTATTTATCTTTTTGATCTATTTCGTAATATAAATCAAATTCAAGTATCACATTTAAAAGAATTAAAATTAAGATTTCCAACTTATACTCAACAATTAGTAACACAAACATTTGAATTAATACGTTTATTAATAAATTCTCTTAAACCAAGTTTTAATGAAGAATATTTATCACGTACTACATCGAAATCATCATCATCAAAATCATTATTTGGTGAAGCAACTCTCTTTCATCCTGTTTTATTACAAATGAATGAACCAATACCATGGTTAGATCGTTTATCTTATGATTTAGCATATCAAGAACAAGAAAACATTAATAATGAAGAAACAATAAATGAAATTTTACCTATTGTTACATCTTCAATATCAACATCTATTTATACTAAAAAATGGCTTGAAGATCGTTTACGTACTGTTTTAAAATCTCGTGATGATAAAGGTGATCTAGGTCAACAAGAATTTTGTAATTTAGTTTTTGAAAATCTTGTTTCAAGTCAAACAGATGATGAAATTCAACATTCCTTATGTGATATTATTGGTTATGATCATTTAGAATTAATTAGTGAATTTATACAAAATCGTCAAATGATAATTGACGGTGTTTTAAATAGTGCTAAAGCTCGTCCACGTGAAATTGTTCGAGCACCAGAACTTATTCAACGTCAAACACAACCAATTCATGGTCCAACTATTGTTGTACAAAGTGAAGAAGAAAAACGTTTAGAAAAACAAATAAGAAGACAATATCGAAAACCACAACAACAACAACAACAGCAACAATCAAATGATTTTCTAAATGAATTTTCTAATCCAGAATTATTAAGATATGAACGTGAACGACAATTACTTTTAGCAACAGAAAAACGTTATGAACAATTATCAAATATATCTCAATCAAGTTCATTACAAACAAAGATTAAATATCCATTTGTATTTGATCAATTACAAGAAATAAAACAAAAAACAGCATATATTGGTGGAAGAAATCTTCTTTTACCGGAAAATATTGAACGAAAATCAACAACAACTTATGATCTTGTTCATATTCCACATGGTGAACAAATTAAATTAGCTAATTTAGGAAAACATATTTGTTCTGAACTTGTTCGTTATGAAGATTTAGAACCATTAGGACAAATTCTATTTAAAGATAATATTAAAACACTTAATTTAGTTCAATCAATTGTATACAAGACAGCTGCTTTTTCAAATGAAAATATTCTTATTTCTGCTCCGTAAGTATCAAATTTAAAAGCTTAATTTCAACAATTTTCAATATCACATTGAGAAGAGAAATCTACAAAAAAAAAAAATCACTAAACATAAGCAAAGTCCTTTGTAGGTTACACTACTCTTTTCAAAAAGCAAAATCTTTTTTGTGTACTCAAAAAGTGAGTACACTCTAGAATCGGTCAGTATGTCTGTCCGGCCGGCCGTTTACACGATAACTTTTGAAAGGAGAGTCCAATCGTGATGAAATTTTCTACACAGTTCAGTCTTAACAATGTCTCGATCGAGTTCGAAGATGAGAAGGATCCGTC